GCGTCAAGTGCCGCGACCGAGGGCTCGCAATGCAGCAGCAGTTGTAGTACAGTGGTTGTCGTTAATACATCCACAGGCGGACCATCGCGAATGCGCCGGGCTTCTGCGACCTCTAGTTTGGAGCTAGGCTACTCGCATACAGCACAAAATTCGGCAATTTCCACAGAGACAGCTAGCTTTCCGGGTGCTATTTATGATAGGTGCAAGAAGACAGGTAAATATACAGGTGAGAGAAAGAGAAGAGTAGCTTTAGTTTAGAAAATAGGTTTATCGACAGTCAAAATACTGTGGAACCTTTTTAGAATCATCCAGTCCAAACTATCCCTCTGTATTATATTACATTTCTTTGATTTTTACGCTTATAAGAATACGTGCACAGAATATATATTTCGGTACCCTTTCTGTTTTTCACTCGCTTTCTAAAATTAAGCATAGTCACGTAGTGTAAATCTTTGAATGATCTTCCTCAGGTACTGATATTGCGAGCGAGACTAGTGGCGTGTATACACTGAGAAGCAGTGAGATTCAAGACGAAAGAATCGGCGACGATTTGTATTCGCCTACGGGTGATACCAACGCATCCTCTGCGGCGAGCGATGTTTGTGCTCTGAGCTCCGTTCAGTCTACCACTGATGAAGCGTCTATCACATCCGGTTTCTATACTATTCACAGTGAATTACGATCTGAAAGCAGTTATACGGAAGACGTCGGCGCGGAAGATCAGGAACCGATATATAGTCTTTGCAAAGGTGATGACGACGAGGTCTCCTTGAACCGACAGCTCGAGGATTCACGCTCGCGAAGCAATAGCATACTCAGCGTGAGCAGTTTCCGAGGCGATGGTAGCGATCCATCCAAAGCGAGACCGTTATTGTCGGCTGACGAGTTATCGGATCTGATAGTCGGCAGGTATCCTCCACGTAAGACTATTAGCAATTCGATGGACTCGGACTGTGATTACGTGACGATGCCTCCTCCACCTCCGCCGCCACCACCTAGGACGGACAGTGATCGACAATTACCGCCGCCATATCCGTTAGAAAGCATTGACTATGCAACAATCAACGTTTCAAAGAGATCTGGCATACTGGAATTGGCTCGGGAACGTGAACCACCTCCGCCACCACCATACAACAAAACTTGCAGTGACTTCGTCCCGTTACCACCTAGACGAACCGATCCACCGCCGCCGCCACCTTCGTATACATCGTCACGAGAGAGGATTCAAATACCGCCACCCACCCCACCGCGAAACGACGCGGTGACTCCACGAGAACCTCCACCACCTCCGCCGCCCTATCCCGACATGTCAACGACGATTGGTTCTGTTCCGAAAGTAGTAAAAACCATCAATGACGTCACCGGGAATATCGTGCCACCGAAACCACCGCCTAGGATCCAACCTCCCACTTACCCAGGCGATAAAATGAAACCTACACCCGTACATGCCCCAGTTGCCGCTCTCGTAGTAGGTCCAAACAATTACCTAGACGTACATGCTTCCCGAAGTGGTCCGGTACTTCTACCATATTTGACGACACCACCACCCCCGCCTCCTCTACCACCGCCACCGATAATACATCCACGGCAACCACCGCCGCCACCACCGCCACCGCCGCCGTCATCAACGCAACAACCAGCATCAAGTTTGGCGACCGTCTATACGAGTCAAGTTTCTCGATCGCAAATAGAACAGTACAAACAACAACTTTACTCCGATGTTGATTATGTTATGTTTCCGCTCAAAGATCCAGCGGTGTCGAAGCAAGAGTATATCGACGCCAAACAAGGTTCCCTTCTGGCGGCTATGGCGGCTTATCCGCCTCCACCGTATCCTTCCTTTAGCAAATCTTCAGTAATGTATCGTAGCACGCCATACCTTCCTGGTTCCTCTTTTTCCTCACAATCCAAATATGCGTCCAACCAAAATCTCAGCTCTAGTGACACAGGTAGTTCCAGCGGTAATTATCTGCAAGGCAATCTGAATAGTCACTATGCTGCTAGCACTAGTTCGCTGTACAGCGGAGCAACTTGTTCATCTACGGGTAGTCATAGTCTTAGAAGAGAGCCGCCCGTACCAACTCACCCTCACACGTTGAATGCGTTCTCGCGGACCAGAAGTGACGAGAATATTCTCAAATGCTTGAATACCTTGTTTACAAACAAGATGCAGTCTCTACCGCAATCCAAGCATCGCAGGTTACCGCCACCGCCACCACCACCACCCTACGAAATACAGGTAACACAAAATGAAATATCAAATTTCTTAAATTTGTAATCAAGGTTTATCAAAATCAAAACAAAAGAACACTTGGATATCTTTATTAGGTGTTTGCAAATATTCTGCATTATTTTTATCGTTGCTCTTAATTCCTTCAGATTCAAAAAAGATAGACAGTTAGCTCCTTAAAACATAGTTATAAATATTTGATAAAATATATTGATTATATATTTTATGTTTGATAGCAATGTTATTTGTTCTAGAATCTTGATAAGAATCAACCACTGCCATCATCTTCTTCAGTGACAACTTCCTCGTTGGCCACTACGACAACAAACAAACTTAAGAAACTCAGCAACGGTACAGAAGAGAATGACGAAAGGAAAAGTGATGATATGTTAGACATCCGAACGCTTCGCGAGAAAAGTCGTAACTTAGATTTACCGTTAATTTCCGCGCTATGCAACGATCAATACCTGTTAAAGCAGACAAAAGCTTTTGTTCTGCCGAAGCATCCCAGCGAAATAACTTCCACCGCTGTATCCATGAAGAGTGGTACACGAAGTAGCAATGGCGCGACGTCCAGTAGGAGCAAGTATCCGGTGAGTGGACTGTCAACGACACAAATACAGAAACCACTTAGAAAATCTTCAACGAGCACTCACAAGCATCCCTCTGAAGTAAAGAGCAATGCCTACAAGGTCAACGTCTCTTCCACAGGGGTCTCGACTATTAAGAAGGACTTTACAAGGGCATCTCATTCCTAACGCTTGTGTAGACATTCTTTTCTCATTCATAGACTCTTAGCTCAGGATGAAAGTACATTCCATAATCCCATAATCACTATCACGCCCTACGTCAATTTAATGTAATTAATATGACGTACTAAGGAGCTGAACGACAAATTAAATATCGTTTCAGTAGACCGTGCTTCTTTGATTCAGGGTGCCATTTTGTTTGTTCGCTGTTTTTTTTTCTTTTTCTTCTTTTCTCAAATATGTAGAAGCTCCAACTAGTTTGTTTCAATATTATTAGATTGATATATTTGAACATTTTGATATTAGATATACTAAAGCGTTATTGTCTCTTGCTCAATTATATGTTGCGACGAAAATTCCATTCATAAGCCCCGATAAAGGCGGCACTAGTCCCGCTCGTTGTTAGGATAAATCATAGAGTTATTGGCCATTGCATATATGATAATCTGCCAAGGATTAGATAATTTTATTTATATGTTACACTGTTGTTTTAATTAGGAACGATTTTAAAAATTCAATATTTTCGGGCGATAATATCGTCTAATTACGATACGTATTACAGAAAATTCAAGTAGTATAACATCTTGAAAATATTAGCAATAAATACATATTAAGATGTAATTAACAGTCTTAATGATTAATATTTTATTCAATCTACAAAGTTACTCGAGCAATGGTCCTCTATTTATTTCGAATATATAAGAATTACATTATGATAAGATTAGAGTACAATTATGTACTTGTATATTGTTTCCGATGCGATAAGAATTCTATGACGAAAATAAATATTGCGTAGGTGGCCAATAATGATATAGTTTACCCTATTTTAGTTAACCCTATAATATCGTAAAAAAGAGAAATGACTTTCTTACTTAATATAATCACAGAATACATATATATTTCGGATGAAAACATTTATGTGATTTTATTGTAATTAAAAAAAATAGCTATTTTAGAATTTTCAGAAATAATATTTATTATCAAACAGTTTCCCGTTTATCTTTTAACATTTCGATCGGTGATTATTCTGCAGCACCATTATTCAAGGCATTTTATGTAATATACATACAGTGCTGTTAGTATAGCTAATCTTTTTTACTTTTGTAATTGATATAATTCAATATTACAAAGCTACCATCCAAATTGATTGACATAATGGAGAAATCGATCGTTAAATTTATATATAATATTTGTAAGTGCAATGCATATAACATTTTTTAACATTTTGCTTTTTTAATTAATTAACATGACTCTGAAATATTTTTATTTTGAACGTATCTCGATATATCTAATTTATTCGGCATTTATATTATTTGTAATATTATAAAATGTAAAATTAATTTAATTCCAGATCTTATAAGAGATCGCACACTTATTATAAATAAAAGAGAGTGCAACAATTTCATAAAATTATTAGTAAAAGAACAACAATTTAGTCGTAAAAATAGTTTACACTAATTGTCACTAGATTTTAATATTATATTTTTCATCTGTACATAATATTACGTAACATAATACTACGTGATTTTATATGTAGACAAAAATCTCGTGTGTATGTATTCCATGCGCCATGTCAATTAATTATAAATAAATAAAATTCTTTTGTAATAAAAGACAATTTGTGAAAAATATAAATAAAGCGTAAATTGAACTGTTGTATTTTATACAACTGCATTGGATATTTACTTTATTGGAAAATATATAAGAAATTCAATATTTTTGCACATGATTTTTTTTTTATTCTCAATTAACACAATTTTTTATATTATTTTTGTAACTATTTGTTATATTACTTTTTATGTTATTTTTATAAAAAAAAACAGGATTGAACAATATATATAAGATTGTAACGTATAAAATATTTTTTTAATTTTAATTAACTTTCATATTTTTAAAATTTTATTATTTCAATTACCTTCAAAATTTTCTTTAATATCTCTTACTTAAAAATATTTACTGTTTTATCAAAACATATATAATATATTTTTATATAATATATTTTTTAATAAACATATGTATCTAGTGTCTTTAAAAACTTTTTTGAACAGGCAATACGTTGTATATCACTCTTGCATTAAAAAGAGACAATAAATGACGTCATTCTTTTCTGGAATAATACACAACCTCTTGCTTCACGCGAAAGCGCCTTTATATACATATTATAGAAATGAAAGATTGTTGAGAAGAACGACCAATGAACGACTTGTCTTTATGACGCAACGTGATGATCACATGTTCGATGCGATTCGTCCAGACGTATATTTACTGAAGCAATAGTTTGTATAAACTGTAGTACGTAGCAACCTTCACGCGGCTGCAATTACGGCTTATCGTAGAGCGTGGGGCAGTCGATTGTCTTGTCCCTTCGTGGAAACTAACATCGTGTCTTATTCTCGATTGTTTCAATTAGTTTCAATTGTTTTCTATACGCATTTTTTAATTATACTATTTCGATCCAAATTCGTTGACGTTTGAAATAATATGTTCTGAGTATGCCGGATCCTTATGAATTTCATATGCATGGTAAGTGCACACATATGGTACTATTATTATATAATATTAATTTAAGCAACCTCTTTAAAATTTTAATTTAAAATTGAATGAAAATATCAGATATTACGTTGATTACAATATTACAATATTTACTTACCTAAAATTTGATAACCATGGATTCGAGTAAGTCCTTAAAAAATGTTGCGCTTAATGCATCCTGCATTTTTTTTATTCTAAAAAAATGCATATCATATAAATATAATTTACGACTTTAAAATTAATAAATATATTTATAAATATATTTATTGTAGAAAATCAATATTCTCAAAAGTTAGTTTTCTAGGGAATTAAAATACTCAATTTTTTGTCAGAGTGACAATTTTGAAGTAAAAAATCAAAATAAAGGATCATTTATTCAACAAAGGTCTTTATTTTAAGTTGGAAAAATTTAAAGAGTTCTTTAAATTTATGCACATGAAACTAAAATATAGCTTTAAACAAAACATAGAAATAGTTCTTAACAATACTTTGTAGATATGATAATAATAACTATTCTCGCGTGCATATGCAATTATACTCGCACTGCGGTCATTGTATATGCGCATCACGTGCAGCATATCAAACCTGCAATTGCAGAGTTCGGTGTCGATGTATTGTTAATGCACAAAGCGGGAACAGACATCTGGCCGCAAATAGGAAAGACAAGAATGATTGTAATACAATCAGCGACGCTTTATCCGAAACCACTGACTAAGATGACTGGCATTTGCAAGGCAATATAATCGTGTGCACGTGCGCGTTCTCAATCGCATATAAAAATGAAAGCGTTGAAACACTAGATAGATTACTTGAGTTACATTTTCATTATTTTAAATAGTCCTGAAAATGATATGACATTAGCTTACAATTAATACTTAAATAAAATAATAGTAGGTCAAATTTCTATTTTTGTATTTATTATGAGTTCGAAAAAGTATATACTTTTTTTGAAACTTAAAGATAAAAATGTAATTTATAAAATATAAAAATTTGGTTTATGAAATTGTAATAATACATGAAACAAATAATAATAAAAATATGGGACGCCGATACATTTTCAAATTAATAATACTTTTCTTCTTCACACATTTCTTGTATGCCATTCTTTTACAATAAGGTAAAATAGGATAAGTTATATAAAAGCGTGAACATGACTCACCATCTCTGAAGATAATTGCAATCGGAGTTAAATAATGTGACAAAGTCGTCAATTCGACAATAGTTTGATGAAGATCTTTGACCTAACGTTATAGAATGCTTTCATCTGCTCATCGATTTTAATTCGTCTGGTTCTAATTCGTCCTATCAAAGTCCTTCGTAGTCCTCATTGTATGATATCTCACCAATTTAATAATTATATAACAATTTATTACTACTAATTTATTACTACAAGTATTGTATTTATGAGAATATTATCTCTCTGTCAAATTCACGATCACCGTTGAAAAAAAAAGATCCAGATATTTCACTATGAAACTGAAGTAGTACAAAATTATCTAAGAAAATAAAACTAAATTGACACTATTCAGAGTGTCGATATTAAACTGTTTCTTCTAAAATAATGTTATATAGTCACAACATAATCTTTTTAATCCTAGGAAAAATATAAAAAAGGTATTTATAATTAATCGTTAAATGATGTAATACCTTATGGTTTTTCATGACGTATTATAATGTTTATGAGAATTTGTAACTCGCCTGCACGTCGCGCTTTACACTGTACTTTCCTCGACAGCTCACACGAAACTGCGTCAAATATATGAACGCGAGAGCGCAAGTAATCTCTGATTTCATGCTTAGAACTGTCTATAGAATCTAGAAATAGACTACTGCGCACAAAATTAATGTGTAAATTATATATAAAAGTTTTTCGAGTCATATGTGTTTAATTCAAAGTAAGACCAATCGCGTTATATCTCACAGATGGTTCTAAACCTTGATATAGATTTGATTATAAATACAAATTGCTGCCAATTGATTCTAGGAATGACCACACGTTCAAAAATACAGCTTTATAAATTTCTAAAAATAATACACAATGTATCAAATTTGATCGAAAATATATATTAATTCTATTATATTTATTCAATCTATTTTAAGAGAAATTTATATCTGATATATTGTTTTTTAATTTTATTTTTTTATCCATCTACTACGATTTTTGGAAAAAAGTATATACTGTAAATTATGGCAATTAATACATAAGTTGACTTGGCGCATATTTTAAGTGTATTTCTCTATCTGTAGTTCACAGATTTATATAGCATTGTGAACCGTAGGTAAATTTTCCCATTCTTCATAACATAATTCTACGTAACATCGACAAATACGCCAAGGAAGTTTTAATAATCTGCATAAAAGTATACATATATTATTATATTTGAATCTTATTCAAAGAAATTGTTGATTAAAAATTTTTGAGAAAAATTTATTAAAGACTTTATTTCTAAATTATATATATATATCTTAAATACGTATATTTAAAAATACAGATGTATGTAGAAGTGGACTATTTTAACTTATCTAGTCGATTTTCTCAAAATGTAACTACCTTAACTATAATCCAATCAACAAATGCAAATAATATAATATTAATTTAAAAAAATTCTAATTATTTTTATGTGTAAGTTACTTTGATACTCACGTCCGTAAAACTGTTTAAAGTAAATATATAAAATTTTCCGGCAGTTAAACACAGCATAACTTGGCCCCGAATCATGCAAATTAGCAGACTTTTCTTGCAACCGAGTGGCATTTCGTACCAATTGCATTCATAGTATGCGTCTTGCACACTTAAACACTAAACACAAAAACAATCGAATAGTAATCATTTGATATAAAAATTGCGGTGAAAATTTCTATGGTATTATTATAGTAATCTCAGACAAAATAGATTTGTTTCTTTGTCTAATATTAATAGGTTTATTCGCGTTAAAATCTCGAAATCTTAAAAAATTTTTATACTTTAAACAAGATAAATATATATTCGGACGTTGAAAGAGAAAAAGCAAAGATATTGAAAAAGATATTGTAAAAAGTGTAACGCGGACAAACCTATTGCTTATTGTTCCTTCCAACAATACCTGTTGAGTTAGTTCGTCACCAGTCAAACAATATCCGAAGAGCATGACAAGCGAAATAAGAGCAAAAAAAGTAAAGGTGCAGCAGGTTGCTATTTTCGCCATATCCAAGTTCTAAAAAATATAAAATATCATAAGATTACATATGTATAATATAATATATTACATATATTTTTATATATTATATATTATACAGAGTGTTTGATAATTAACAATAAAACTCTCGGATAGAAGCAGAATGGATTAAACTGAGAAGAAAAGTCCTCTACTATTTTATATTTTTCGCATTAGTTAATAAATTATTAATTTCTGAAAATAGCCAAATGTAAATGAGCTAAGACCGTCCAGCGAGGCGTGCATTCGCTGTCTTTAGGCATGATAATGTCAATGTCGCTTGTAAGCAACGTGCATTTTTCTGAGGGTGCGTTCCATTAAACTTTAGCAATGTTCTCGTGTATCATTTCATTTTTATCTAATATTTGATGACATGATACTCTTAAGTGGAAAGCGCCCTAGGCGGTCTTATCTCGCCGCATTTGATGGTAGGTTGGGCGAATTTGGAAATTTTCATAAATTAATAACTCATTAACTAATACGAAACATGCAAAATGATACAGAACTTTTCTACTCAGTTTAGTCCATTCTGCCCCTATGGGATACTTTTTTTTTTTATTCGTTAATTATCAGACATCCTGTATATTTAGGACATTCTATAACTTCCAATTATAATTTTGTTGTTTAATCAACATTTAAAATTAATTTTATCTTAACAAAAAATTCAGCATATTTAAACTCTCGCGCATTGATAAAAATTAATAATGACTCCTACACACTGGAAATGCTTTACTCAGCGGCAAAACGTGATGCGGTAGCCAATAAGATTACACCTCTCAACATGTTCATTGATTATCGCGTCGCATTTTGCCGCGCGGTAAGTTTTTTCGCGTCCAGTATACAATAGCCATAAGAGAGAACATTAGATAGCCGGATACCATATCCGTGTCCGATTGTAAAGGAGAAGAAAACGAAAGATGCGGATCTTCATCTTTTTGAATACATATAGAGATATATAAGTAAATTATATATAAGTGAAAGCCATTTTAAAAAATTATCACAGTTATATGTTCTACCGACTACCATTTGATATTGCTAAATATAATAATGATATTTAATAATGTATCATACCATTATGACGTAATACAATGAAATAGCCAATACAACACTGAGGCCAACGAGTTCATATAAAAGAATCAAATTGAAAGTATCGTCCACGGACTTCGCCATCCTTCAATCACCATAATATTTCCGACAGCATTATATAAACAGAAAAAATAAAGAAGCAAATTAAACAAAGAGATATACTATACGTTGAATACATGATTGCAATACTCCTACCATATTATCTTGAGATGCATTCGAACGAAGCTACGAATTCTGTCTAGTATCATGGTTTGTGAGTATTCTTTAATATGTCTAATACGATATGCCAAAATGGACAACTCGCCGCAAATGTGAAATACTAAAATAACCATTAAGCAGATTGCTGCCATGTGACATACAGAAATGTAAATCATTGGAAATAGACAGAGATACATCAATATGTATGTATGAGTATTGCTGATATCAAAAAATGGATGGATTCTGTATGGTAATATGAAATACTCCGTACTGTTTTGTGATGCTGAAAAAAGATGACAGTACGAAGAAATGTTGACAAAAATAGATAAACAATTTTTTTCTTTGAACAAAGTACATTGGTAACAATTAAAGTATTTAAAGAATATAAAGTAACTTTGCTCTACAATTTTACAATGATTGATTAATAATAAAATAATGAGACAATGTGATGTAAACTTTATTACTATATAGTACATGTAAACTTTGTTATTTATACATACAATATATGTATATATTATGATCTTTATTTATTATGTAGTTACAATCATACAATATATTTAAATTTATATTATAATTAGCAAGAAAAAGTTTGATTTTACATACCTTGATTAATAGTCAAGAGGTACACGAGCGGTCTAAGATACAACAATACGACCGTGATGAACATGCCAACGAGTGAGCCATAGGAGAATATCTTGGATATAAAATTGTAATTATAATAAATCCTCTCCTCTTCAAAATTCTCGAATTTGCGTTCAACCATATCCTTTTTTATTATATAAATTAGGAGTTTTAGCAAATTACTGCAGCGTATCAGCCACACTAATGGGAACGTCATGGAATAAACCATCGATTCCACGAGATTCATCACAATAAGCTCCAAATTACCAAAAGCATCGTAAAAATCGGTATACGCCATAATGAGATAAAGAGTGAAATGCGAGATGTAAATCGCGAAACGGATGTATGTTTGTTTGAACGGCCATATTCCTCCTATGGAAAAGATCCGTTCTAAATGAACAAATAAATCTTCAATATGGTCGACTTCGTTCTGTAATATTACATATATTCTGAATAAAAATCATTGAAAGTGATATAACATTGATTAAATCGCCTAGATATTAAAAAAATATATTAATACATTTATACGATCAGTATTAAATGCAGAGAAGCTGTCTTCTACGAAATGTTTCGTAATGGAATACTAATTTCTTACTTTCATATCGAGTTGTAGATTTTCATCAACTGATCGTCTTCGACTGTAATTCGTTTCGTCGAATCAGACTTGTGCCGTGAATATCCATGCATGCAACGATTGTAATATATAATATCTAGATTAGACTTATGTTTGTCTAATGCTTTTCATTTCTCTATTTCAGATGCTATATACTTTATATATTGTAATAGGCGGTCTGCTAGCAACATATTAGTTAGCATTTTTCCTAGCGTACTAATTATCTTACCGTCTCATGAAAAGCCTTTGATTCATCTTAGTCTCTAACAATAAGCTTTTATTTTTTTGTATCTATTATAGTATAATGTAGAAAAATTGCAGCGATTGTAATAAATACAATGCTGAGAATCATTAAACTTTTTAATGTTCCTAATAAATTCTTAGTAATATTATTAGTGTAATTGTCTTCGCGTGTTGCGCAAATCCGTCGTATTAACTGACGTCTCTGAAGAAATAGTAACTGTATAGCATTATAAGCAACATGGCAAAATCACGCTACCTGTTAAATAGTAAGAAATAACGATCAGTGTAGCTTGAGATTCTTTAAGAATATTTGTAAAATTTTGATTTATGAAATCAAAAAGTAAAATATTTACAGAAATAAAGATACATTACATTTCGACATCTACATATTTCTATATATTACTTATTATAATATAAAGTTTAATTATTCTGAATATATAAATATATTTCAGTCACTTAATACAAAAGTATTAATGATCTTAGACACAAAAGTATTGATTATTGGTTACTGATATCTGCAAGAATATCTTCGGCATGTGATTATACTTGTAAAAATTTTTCTTTCGGAAACTTCGTAGGCAATGTTAGTCAAGAAGGTTCGAATATAAGAAGTTTGTGGCTACGAACTGTCCCTGTTGAGTGAAATCATAAATTTTTATAATTGAATTAATGATAGTCAGCACTAAGAATCTTTTTTACATCTTCAGTGATGAAAAATGTTCTGTTTTAATAAACGAAATAAGTCACTTTACGAAGAAGTGATTGCAGAGTCTGCCAAATAAAGTCGGACATAAACTTCGTATCTTCATTATGAGTGTGAGGACGAAAGAGACATAAATTTGAGCGATAGCCAGCTTGCTGACATCAACCTAGTGCAAGCAATCTATAAAGATACTGATACTTACGTGCAAGACGATCCCCTCTTCATGGATTCGCACGTCAGTAGACATCTCGTCAACAAGTACATTTGCAGTATTTAAAGGTAAGAGTGGCACGATGCAGCAAAAAATGTTCATATTGTGATAAACAAGAAAACCTTTGCAATTTTACTATTTTCCTATGATTGTTTGTCGAGTTTCATCTAAACAATTATTAATGTTTTCTAATTTTACTTTAAATAACTTGATAATTATCAACTTGTTAATAAAGTTTTTTGATTACAAATCATCATGGATGACAATCTCAGAACACGTTCAGCTAAGGTACGTAAGTATTATAATAATAATAGCAAAAATATGTCAGAGATAGTTTGAGATTATATAAGATAGTACCGAATTGAGCGATCTTTTTAAAAATTATAATATATATAAATCAATTGACGCATATCAATTGTGCAATTTATATAAAAAAACAGCATACATATAACAGCAATTAAACGATATTTTAAATAAGGAACTTATTTTTATGTATAAAATTTGGTTTAAAATAAATATATCTTTTTGTAAAGAAAATATTAAAAAATGATACATAAAATACAAAAATATTAAAAACAATTTATAGTTTTTGATAACAATAATACCTCTCTTTCTTTCCTCTCACTCTTTATAAATTATACATTTATTTCTATTTGAGCTTGTTCAATATGTCAGTTATTTATAAATTATCTTTGCACACGCTTCCAAAAATTATTACTCTTCAATGATGTTATAAGAGAGAACGTAATACTTATAAATATTTCATGGATATTTTCAAAATTTGTTGAAACAATTTACTTTTGAACCATGTTTTCGTATTCTTATATTAACAGCAATGAATATATTTCAAATGTCCAAAATTAAGTGAAACCTATTTATTTAAAAAATTTTCTAAATGTATGCGAATCAGCTTATATCTGGTGAAGTGCTGAGGCAAAACATAATAAATTTCCATCTATCAGGCAGAGCGATTTCTGCGATCTTACCATGCATAGTATTAGCATTCGCGCATTATTCTTTGACATATCATCAACAGCAATTGTAAAATGCTTCACATACTTTAACACTCTGTGAAAAAGATTTACACTATGAAAAAACAATAAAAAATCATGCATAAATATATATATATGCATATTATATGTAGCTCTTTTTTAATTTCTATCATATATTTCTTCTAAATAAAACATTACTTCTGTCATATGTCTTCTCAATACCGACAATGAGCATAAAGTATAAGCAGGATTAACAATATGAATATAAAGAATTTGATTAAAAACGGAACAATTCCTATCTCACTCTTAGGAAGATTCTACTCACATAAAATTGAAAATTAAAATGATAGAACACCTAAATGTACATATATGTCGAAACAAAAATTTTTTATTTCCTTATATTATACCATGATCATTTTTAAATATGTAAATGTATCAAACATTATGTTTATGTGATTATCATTACAATATTGACTTACCATTAACTTTTGATAAACCGAAGATGCTTACAAGACAAGTAGTTCCTAAAAAATGCGCCAGCAATGTTACACTAAATGCTTTTCGTATTATCTTTCCCATTCTGAAAAAAATCGAAGTTATATAAATGTAATTTATTTAAATTAAAGTTTTTAATAACACACAGAAGTTTATTCCAAATTTCAGTTGTTAAGATAAACAGCTCTATCAAAAGAATAGAACTAAATATCCTCTCTAATTTTATATTAAGTTTGAATATGTTAAAATATAAACAAAAATTTAAGATACTTTTATTATATATAAATTTTTTTTATATGCGTAACTTATTAAAGTCGGAGGAGGAGGCACTTAGTTGTTTTCCCTTGTAAGTAAAGAATTGAAAAAAATTAAGAATTAATTTAACAAAAATCTTTATTTTAGGCAAAAAGTGAAAAAAAAAGAATTTGTTTAGTTTTAATTGAAATGTGAAACTAAAGAAGAGCTTTTAAAAAAAACAATACATGTTTTTAACTAAAGCTTCTGCGGATATATGCATGAGATCACCGGTAATAATCGTACCGGTAATGCATATGCATTACCTGTCACATCTCAGGCCCACAATCACAAACTTCGGTATCTATATTGTTAATGCGCAAAGCAAGAACCCGAATCTGACCGCAAATGTGAAAGACGAGAGTAATCATGATACAGTCAGCGGTGCTTTGTCCAAAAGCACTAATGAAGCACAAACGGCATTTGTCAGACGTATGTAATCGTATATTCGTATACGTACGTGTACGTACGTATATTCTCAATCGGGTAGAACAGATAAAAATGATAAGACAATACATAAATTATTTGAGCCACGTTTGTCACTATTTCAGGTAATCTTAAGAAAATGTTCGACTCTGACGTTAATACTAGCATTAAAAAAATCATTTTTAATAAAATTTCTATCTGTGGCACTTTTTTCAAATTCAAGAAAATACGTAGATTTGGAAAACTTGAAGATAAAAAAAAATATTCATAAAATATGAAAACTCATTCTATAAAATCAAATTATAATAAAAATTAACCGGCGGAACTGCCGGTTAATGAGACTTTATTTGTTTTACACGACGAATATCTTAATCTCCTCGGCGGTTATAATTTATCTCATCAAAATCCTTCATGGAAATCCTCCGTTATGACTTCATCAATTTCATCGTTATATAACTTTAGCGTACTTATTTGCACAAACATCAGTACAAATGCTATGTTCTGTCAAATTTATGATCACGTGCTCAAAATTACTGATGTAAAAAAAAGAAATCCAGATACTCTAAAATCAAGAGCAAAGTAAAGTAGCCAAAATTAATTGGGAAGATAAAATCATTGTTGAAAAGGCCGAAGACCTAACGTCGACCGTTTGTTCCAAGATAACACCTTGACCGCACGATCTAAGTCTTTTTGATCCTCAAAATATTAAAAAATCTATATAATTAGTCGTTAAATAATATAATAACAAATAATTTTTCATGGTTTTTGTAACAGTGAATAAAATTCGCAACTCATCACCTGCATCGTGCTTTACACTGTACTTTCCTCGACAGCTCACACGAAACTGCGTCAAATACAAGAAGGCGGGAGCGCAAGTAATCTCTGTTTTCATACTTAGAACTGTCTATAGAATGTAGAAACAGACTATGCGCAGAAAAAAAAATTAACGTGTAAATTACATACAAGAGTTTTCCGAATCATATGTGCTTAATTCGAAGTAAGATCAATCGTTATGTCTCATAGTTCTTCGGTGTAAATTTGTATGATTACACAAATTGCTGCCAATTGATTCTAGGAATGACCACACATTCAAAGATATAGTTTTATAAATTTCTAAAAATAATACACAATATATTAAATTTGATCGAAAATATATATATTAATTCTATTATATTTTTTCGATCTATTTTAGAAGAAATTTATATATCTGATATATTGTTTTTTAATTTTATTTTTTTATCTTTTTATCTACGATTTTTGGAAAAAAGTATATATTATAAATTACAGTAATTGATACATATGTTCGCTTGGCGCATATTTTAAGTATATTTCTCTATCTGTACTTTACAGAATTATATAATATTGTGTGCTATAAGTAAATTTTCCCATAATTCTTCATAACAGAGTACGTAACATAGACAAATATGCCAAGGAAGTTTTAATAACCTGCACAAAAGTATACATATATCATTATATATGGAATTTTATTCAAAGAAATCGTTGATTAAAAATTTTTGAGAAAAATTAATTAAAGACTTTATTTCCAAATTATATATATATATATATTTTTTTTTAAATTCGTATATTTAAAAATAGAGATATATAAGATGGACCATTTTAATTTATCCAGTTTTCTTAATCTTTTCAAAATCTGTAAATTAAAGACAAAAATGTTTCAGACAAAAGTTTTACAGTTTTAAGGGGGAAAAACGATGATGATCTTGTTTGACTTATGAAGATGTCTTTAAGGTCAAGGTTACCTAAAATTTTTCTAATGAAACCTCTTATTTTTTATTATATATTCTTATAGCTGTCTTCAAGACCTTTTGAAAACATTGTAATAAAATTTATTTTATTAACTTTTTTTTATTTTATTTATTTTTTTAATTATAACGCTCGAAAGTTACAGTACCGTTGTCACTTTTGCATTACCCAAAGTGTCAGACTGATGGCTAAAACTTTTGGAATGAAATTTATAATCATGACGTTGACAAGTTGACTTACAGATTACACACTAATTTAATTTGATTCAAAGTCAGGTTCAAGATTCATTAACAGCTGTTTTCCAAAACCTTTGGAGGTATGTATAATTCGGTTGATGTTAAAATGAATTACATACCTCTAAAGATTTTGGAAAACAGCTGTTGATGATCTTGAATCTGACCTTGGATCAAATTAAGTTATAGTATGTAACTTATAATTCATCTTGTCAACGTCATGATTGTGAATTTCATTCCAAAGGTTTTTAGCCATCAGTTTGACACCTTGGATAATGCAAATATGCTAGCGGTATTGTAATTTTCAAGTCATAACTCGAAAAATACTTAATGAAAATGTACTTCATTAAAGCTCTTGAAGACAATGAAGACAGCTATAAGAATATGTAATAAAAAATAAGAGGTTCTATTTAAAAAATTATAGGTAACCTTGATCTGACTTTAAGGACACCTTCTCAAGGCTAACCAAGGTCATCAACTTCTTTCTTTCTTGAAATTATAAAGCTTTTATCTGAAAAATTTTTGCCTTAAACTTACAAATTTTGAGAAAATCGAGTGTATAAATTAAAATGGCCTTCTGTATATACGGTATGTTGCAAGACTATAAAGAATTTTGCAACACATATAATCTTTATTTTTTTTAGTACGATTTAAAATTTTTGAATGTAATTACTTCAAATTCTTATAATCCAATTCTACTTATAATCCAATCAACAAATGTAAATAACATAACATTAATTTAAAAAATTTTTAATTATTTTTATATGTAAGACTGTTACATTAATACACTCACGTCCGTAAAACTGTTTAAAGAAAATATATAAAATTTTCCGGCAGTTATATATAACATAACTTGGCCCCGAATCATGCAAATTAGCAGACATTTCTTGCAATCAAGTGGCATTTCGTACCAATTGCATTCATAGTATGCATCTTGCACACTTATACACTAAACACAAAACAATCGAATAGTAAGCATTTAATATAAAAATTGCGGTAAAAATTTTTGTTTTTAGTAATGTCAGACAAAGTAGATTTGTTTCTCTGTCCAATATTAATAGGTTTATTCGCGTTGAAATTTTGAAATCTTTAAAAATTTTTATACTTTAAACAAGATAAATATATATTCGGACGTTGAAAAGAGAAAAAGCAAAGATGCTGAATATAAAAAATGTAACGCGAACAAACCTATTGCTTATTGCTCCTCCCAACAATACCTGTTGAGTTAGTTGGTCACCAATTAAACAGTATCCGAAGAGCATGACAAGCGCAATAATAGCAAAAAATATAAAAGTGCAGCAGGTTGCTATTTCTGACACATCCAAGTTCTAAAAAGTATAAAATATCATAAGATTGTATATGTATATCATATATTACATGTTTATATATTATACAGAGTGTTTGGTAACAATAAAACTCTCGTATAGAGGCAGAATGGATTAAACTGAGAAGAAAAGTCTTTTATCATTTTGTATTTTTCGAATTAACGAGGTACTAGTTTATGAAAATAGCCAAATTCGTCCGTCGAATGCAACGCGTGACGAGCTAAGACCATCCAGCAAGGCACGCATTCGCTGTCGCTAGACATGTTAATGCTAATGTCGCTTGTAAACAATGTGCGTCTTTCTAAGGGTGCGTTCCATTAAACCTTAACAATGCTCTCGTGTATTAAAATGGGTATAAAGAGAGTGGCGCCAATGCATGTGCCTAATACTGATTGGCTCCGCCATTAAGTGTTCTTACGATGACTAAAACCTGTTTAATGTTGTTCAAGATTACGATCTTGGGAAATGAAAATAACGGAACAACCTCCAATGATCTTGACAAATATTATCCAGGTCATAATCCTGAACAACATTAAAGAGGTTTTAGTCATCGTTTGGGCACTTTGAGCAATGCTAATGCCGGAGATATTGTAACCTTATAACTCATACATAAAGTACTTAATCAAAATGAATTTAATTATAGTGTTTTGGAAAGCTCTTGAGATGTGGCTATAAGAATATGCAATAAAAAATGGAGTGTCCATTTAAAAAAATCACGTGAGCTTGACCTAATCTTAGCGACGCAATCCAAGATCAAACTCATCTCCCAGTAAATAGGTTTTTAGAAACCCTACAACTTTTGTGTGAACACTTTTTTGATTGGACTTTATCCTGCGAAGATAAAACGGTGGTACGAAACACCCGGTATAGGACGTTCTATAACTTCTAATCATAATTTTGTTGCTTATTCAATATTTAAAATTAATTTTATCTTAACAAAAAATTTAGCATATTTGAATTTTCGCGCATGGTAAAAATTAATAATGACTCCTACACACCGGATGCAGAAACGCTTGATGCGCGATAAAATGTATGCGGTAACCAATAAGCTTACAACTCCTAACATATTCATTAGTTACCGCATTTGTATAGTTGTCTAGTGTACAGGAATCACAAGAGAGGACATTGGATAGCCGGATACCATCCTTGACCGATTGTGCAGTTATTCAGAAGAAGAAAACGAGAGATACGGTCATTTTTCTCGTTTGAATACAGCCCCATAAAAGAGAAAGTATATACAAGTGAACGTGAAATATAATAATAACATTTAATAATATAACATACCATTATAACATAATACAACGAGATAGCCAGTACAACACTGTTGCCAACGAGTTCATCCAAAAGAATCAAATTGAAAGTATCGTCCATAGACCTCGCCATCCTTCGATCACCATAATATTTCCGATAGCATTATATGTATATACAGAAAGAATGAAGAAACAACTTAAATAAAGAGATCTATCATGTATTGAACGTATGATTGTAGTACTCCTACCATATTATCTTGAGATGCATTCGAACGATGCTACGAATTCTGTCTACTATCATGGTTTGCGAACATTCTTTAATATGTCTAATACGATATGCTAAAATGGACAACTCGCCACAAATGTGAAATACTAAGATAACTATCAGGCAGATCGCTGCCATGTGACATATAGAACAGTAAATCATTGGAAACAGACAGAGATACATCAATATGTATGTATGAGTATTGCTGATATCGAAAAATGGATGAATTCTATAGGGCAACATGAAAGACTCCGTATTGTTTCGTGATGCTGAAAAAAGATGACAGAACGAAGAAATGTTGACAAAAATAGTAAAAAAACAAATTTCTCTTTAATGTATTCTTTAATGTATTTAAAGAATATAAAGTAACTTTTTTCTATAATTTTACAGTGGCAAATTGATTAATAATAAAATAATGAGACAATGTGATGTAAATTTTTATTTATCATACGTACAGTATATGTATATATTATGATCTTTATTTATTATATAGATACAATCATATAATTTATTTAAATTTATAATAATTAGCAAGAAAAATTTGATTTTACATACCTTGATTAATAGTCAAGAGATACATGAGCGGTCTAAGATACAACAATATCACCGTGATGAACATGCCAACAATTGAGCCATAGGAGAATATTTTGGATATAAAATTGTAATTATAGTAAATCCTCTCCTCTTCAAAATTCTCAAATTTGCGTTCAACCATATCCTTTTTTATTACATGAATTAGGAGTTTTAGCAAATTACTGCAGCGTATCAGCCACATTAATAGGAACGTCATGGAATAAGCCATCGTTTCCACAAGATTCATCACCATCAGCTCCAAATTACCAAAAGCATCATAAAAATCGGTATACGCCATAATGAGATAAAGAGTGAAATACGAGATATAAATCGCGAAACGGATATATGTTTGTTTGAATGGCCATATTCCTCCGATGGAAAAGATCCGTTCTAAATGAACAAATAAATCTTCAATACGATTGATTTTGTTCTGTAATATTATATTCTGGGTAAAAGTCGTTGAAAGTGATATAGGTAACATTGATTAAATCGCATAGGTATTAAAGAAAATATATTAATATAATTATACGATCAGTATATCAAACACAGAGAAGCTGTTTTCTCTGGCAAAATGTTTCGTAATAGAATATTAACTTCTTACTTTCATATCGAGTTATAAGTTTTCATCAACTGATCGTCTGCAACTGTGATTTGTTTCGTCGAATCAGACTTGTGCCGTGATTATCCATACATGCGACAGTTTAAACATATAATATCTATAGATTAGACTTATATTTATCTAATGCTTATCATTTCGCTGTTTCTAGATTCTATACACTTTATATATTGTAACAGGCGATCTGCCAAGTTGTTATTAGTAGCTAGCATTTTTCCTAGCGCACTAATTATCTTACCGTCTCATGAAAAGCCGTTCTTTTGATTCATTTAAGACTCTAACAATAAGCTTTTATTTTTTTTTTGTATCTTTCTTTTGTACAATGTAGAAAAATTGCAACGATTGTAACAGATACGATGCAGAGAATCATTAAACTTTTTAATGTTCCTAATAAATTCTTAATAATATTATTAGTGTAATCGTCTTCGCGTGCTGTGCAAATTGTATTAATCGACGTCTCCGCAGAAACAGTAACTGTAGCATTATAAGCAACATGACAAAATCACGCTATGTACGTATTAAATAATAAGATGTAACGGTCAGTGTAGCTTGAGCCTTTCTAACAATATTTATGTAAATCTTGATTTATGAAATCAAAAAGTAAAATATTTACAGAAATAAAGATACATTACATTTCGACATCTACATATTTCTATATTACTTATTATAATATAAAGTTTAATTATTCTGAATATATAAATATATTTCAGCCACTTAATACAAAAGTATTAATGATCTTAGACACAAAAGTACTGATTATTGGTTACTGATATCTGCAAGAATATCTTCGGCATGTGATTATACTTGTAAAAATTTTTTTTCCAAAAGCTTCGTAGATAATAGTTAGTCAAAATAGTTCGAATAGGGAATAGTTTGTGGCTACGAACTGTTCCTGTTGAGTGAAATCATAAATTTTTATGATTAAATTAATGAAAGTCAGCATACTATGGATCTTCTTTACATCTTCAGTGATGCAAAATGTTCTGTTTGAACAAGCGACGAATAGTCACTTTACGAAGAAGTGATTGCTGCCAAATAAAGTCGGACATAGACTTCGTATCTTCATTACGAGTGTGGGGACAAAAGAGAGATAAATTTGAGCGATGACCAGTTTGCCAAAATCAACCTAGCGCATGCGATCTATAAAAATATCAATACTTACTATGTTAGACGATCCCCTCTTCATGGATTTGCACGTCAGTAGACATCTCGTCGACAAGTGCATTTGCAGTATTTAAAGGTAAGAGTGACACGGTGCAATAGAATGTTCATATTGTGATAAACAAGAAAATCTTTACAATTTTACTATTTTCCTATGATTGTTTGTCGAGTTTCACCTAATCAATTATTGTTTTCTAATTATTTTACTTTAAATAACTTGATGATTATGATCGACTTATTAATAAAGTTTCTTGATTACAAATCATCTTGTGTGATAACCTCTGAACGCGTTTAGCTAAGATACGTAACAGTTATAATAATACCAAAAATATGTCAGAGATGGTTTCAGATTATATAAGATGATAACAAATTGAGCGACCTTTTTAAAAGTTATAATATATATAATATATATAAATCAATTGACGCATATCAATTGTGCAATTTATGTAAAAAATACAGTTTACATATAACAGCAATTAAACGATATTTTAAATAAGGAACTTATTTTTATGTATAAAATTTGGATTAAAATAAATATATCTTTTTGTAAAAAAAATATTAAAAATGAAAATATTACATAAAATACAAAACTTTAAAAACAATTTATAGTTTTTGATAACAATGATACTTCTCTTTCTCTCCTCTTTATTATAAATTATACATTTATTTCTATTTGAGCATGTTCAATTTATAAATTATCTTTGCACACGCTTCCAAAAATTATTGCTCTTCAATAATGTTATAAGAGAGAACGTAATACTGATAAATATCCCATGGATGTTTTCAAAACCTGTTAAAACAATTTATTTTTGAATCATGTTTTCGTTCTTATATCAACAGCGACGATATATTTTAAATGTCTAAAGCTAAGCGGAGTCTTTTTACTTTAGAAATTTTGTAAATGCATATAAATCATCAGCTTACGTCAGTTAAAGTGCTGAGACAAAACATGGTAAATTTTCCAGCTATCAGGCAGAGCGGTTTCTGCGATCTTGCCATGCATAGTATTAACATTCGTGCATTATTCTTTGACATATCATACCAACGGCAATTATAAAATGCTTCACACACTTTAGCACTCTGTAAAAATGATTATTTACATTATGAAAAAAACAACAAAAAATCGTGCAT